GCTCACTGGAGCTGTCCCAATCTCTCCGGGGCCGTCCCGACCTCACCGGGGCCGTTTCAACCTCACCGAGGCTGTCCCGCCCTCACCGGGGTCGTTTCGACCTCACTGGGGCTGTCCCTACCTCACCAGGGCCATTTCAACCTCACCAGGGCCATCCCGACCTCACTGGGGCCATTCTGACCTCACCCTGGCCGTTTCGGCCTCACCGGGGCCGTCTCAACCTCACCAGGGCCGTCCCGACCTCACCGGGGCAATCTCGACCTCACTGGGGCCATCCTGACCTCACCGGGGCCGTCTCGACCTTTCCGGGGGTGTCCCGACCTCACCGGGGGCTGTCCCGACCTCACTGGGGCCGTCCCAGCCTCAGGGGAAGCGCGAAGTTTGGCACTCTGTCCCCTGCCGGGCAGCTTTGGCACTCTGTCCCCTGCTGGGCGGCTCCCCACCAGACAAAATCTCCAGGCGTTCCTGGTGGCTGAACTTCCAGCATGCCTGCTCAGACTTCGCCCTCCACCAAGTGCACAGACTACCCGTCTGCTGTACCCCAGCGTCCCATGCGAGACTGGAACCGGTTGGCGTGGTTGTGCGCCTGCTGGTACAGCGGTTCCACATCGCCGGCCCAGCTGCGCCTGGCCCCGGCCTGCCCCGAACCCGACTCCGCCCCCCGAGTGTGTCCCTCCCAGATGCGAGGAACCGAAATCTGCAGCCTGCTGGCTTGGGCTCTGTACTTGGTGCCTCTGCACATCCTACTCAGTCTCAATCCTCTTCTTCTCTATGCGAGGAGTTGAAATCTGCAGTTTGTTAGGTTGGGCTCTGTCCTTGGTGTCTCTGCACATCCTACTCAGCCTCAGTGTTTTTTCTTTCTTTCCTTCCAGTTGTAGAGCTTCCACTGGGCCAGCTTTCCCATGGTTCCGTATGATAGCTGTTTGTCCTATAGTTGGTAGTTTCGATGTTGTGGGAGGCAGCACGCACAGGTCTCTTCCTTATGCCACCATCTTGGTTCTCCTGTGTCTGCTTCTTGAGTGTCTCCCCCATGAGGAATTGAAGTCTGCAATTTGTTGGGTTAGGCTGCAAAAGCACAGGTGGGTCTTTTTGTGCACCTGGCACAGCTTGGATGGGGATGTAAATTGATTAGGGCTGGGTCTCAGGGAGTCGCCAGGGCGGAGCAAATAGCAATGGCGTCTCTGCTGCTCCTCGCCTCTCTGGGGCTCTGGGACTTGGCGTCCCCCAGTGTCCGCGAGCAGCTGCGTGACAGAGCCTCCCTCGCTTTCTGAGGGCAGCAAGGCCGTGCCACCTCTCCCCGTAGGGTCTGGTGCCTCATGATCCCGCCTGAACGAGCTCAGTGGATTCGAGAGTTTGTAAAAGCGCAGGCGTTTCCTCTTGTGCCTCTGGCACAGCCTGGATGGGGATGTAAATTGAGTAGGGCGGGGTCTCAGGGAGTCACCAGGGCTGGGCAAATAGCAAAGGCGGAGTCTCCGCCACTCCTCGCTTCTCCGGGACATCGGGACTTCGTGTCCCCCAGTGTCATCGGGACTTCCTGTCCCCCAGTGTCGGCGAGCGGCTGCGCGCCAGAGCCTCCCTCGCTTTCCGACCGCTGCAAGGCTGTGCCACCTCTCCCTGTGGGGCCTGGGGCCTCAGAGACCCGCCCCGAGCAATCCGATTGAAAAAAAACCTCGCATCCAATTGCAGCCCGCCTGGCATGCGACTGTGTACCTCTGTTTTTGGTGCCTCTGTAGCTCTTACTCAGTCTCACTGTGTTTCCTTCTCCTTCCAGTTGTAGAACTTCCACTGGGCCAACTTCCCCATGGTTCTGAATGGTGGTTGTTTGTCTTATAGTTGGTAGTTTCAATGATGTTGTGGGAGGCAGCACGTACAGGTCTACTCCCCACACCGCCATCTTGGTTCTCCTACCTCTGTCTATTTTTCAACAGTTTGTAATGTTCTTTGGTGGTTAACTTTTTTTATAGCAGTAATTTATTTCTACCTGGTTATTAAAGCATCATATGTAAGAATTGTTTTGCTTTCGATAGTTGACTTTTTGGAGATCTGCCTTTAGTTTCTTCTGCCTTTAATTGATCTCATGATAGCATTTTTAGATAATGTGTAAAGAGCATCAAGAGACAGCCAAAATGGTCTTATTTGCTTTTATGCAAACTAAATTGCCCTTGTGACCTAGCATAAAATTTAGGTGCTAAGAGAAGTTACTTATTTTGACAACAGAATTAATTGAGCCTAAAAGTTGAAATTCCAGTTGTAGGAAACTATTCTTTCTGGCTCTCAGTCTGGCTGTGGTACTGTCAAGAAGAGTAACTTGTTTATGATTAAATAGCGGAATGATGGGCAGTGGACAGCATTTGAGGGAGGTGCTGAATAAACCTTCTACTTCCGAAACAGTTAAGAAGTGACAAGCTGCAAGGGGAGTCAGAGCGTGTGCATTGATATCCAGCTGAGGTGTCAACTGACACTTGAGCCAAGCATGCAAAGCTTTGCCATGTGAAACAGCATGTGGAGCATATGCAATTTGAAAAGAAAATCTTTTTCATGCATGATTTAATGTATTTTTTAAAGAAGGGTATATTTAGTTTTATTAGACCACAAACTGTCTTAGTATTCTGATCTTTTATAGAAAAGCTTATGTATACATGGTACTCAGCTTAAAATTTTTAATTCGTATTTTACAATTTGAGAGAATTTGACATTTTATATTTAAAAAATGTCATTTTGAATGATTTATTGGACATTTTCATATTTCAAATGAATTTTAAGGAATGTTTAGAAAAGATAAAGAGACAAGCCATCAAGATATATCTGGTATAGGAAAAGATTTTGTGAAAAAATATATAGAATTTTGTTTAAAGGGATTAATTTTTATAGAGTTAAGGCATCTTTTTACTATTTTCACAAATATAAAGCTATCCGAAAATCTTTTTTTAAAATCTTTATTGTTGAAAATATTACATATGTTCACTTTTTTCTCCCATTGACCTCTTCTAGCCAATCCCCACTTCCCACCCCAGGCCTTCACCAACCCCTTCACTCCCCTATATCCGTGTCCATGGGTTATGCATGTATGCATACAAATTCTTTGGTTAATCTCTTTCCATCCACCCATCTTTTTCTGCCTTCCCTGAGATTCGACAGTCTGTTCCATGCTTCTATGTCTCTGGATCTACTTTGTTCATTAGATTCCATATATGAGTGAGATTTTTGATACTTGTCTTTCTCTGACTGGCTTATTTCATTTAGCTTAATACTCTCCAGGTCCCTCCATGCTGTCTCAAAGGGTAAGAGATACTTCTTTTTTACTGCTGTGTAGTATTCCATGGTATAAATGTGTACCACAGCTTTTTAAAATATATATATTTTATTGATTTTTCAATGGGTTCTTAAACTGGACCGGAGGGCCAGAACAAAAGCATGGATGGAGTGTTTGTGTGAACTAATATACATTCAAAGTAAACATCATTACATAAAAGGGTACGGTCTTTTTTTTTTTAGTTTTATTCATTTCAAACAGGCCAGATCCGACCCGCAGGCCATAGTTTGCCCACTGCTGTCTTAGCTATTGTTAAATTGCACTGCTGTGAACATAGGGGTGCATACATTCTTTCTGATTGGTGTTTTGGAGTTCTTCGGCTATATTCCCAGGTGATTTACTGGATCAAATGGCAGTTCCATATTTAATTTTCTGAGGAAATTCCATACTGTTTTTCATGAAAATCTTAAAAGAACATCCTATATAATAAAAGCCTAATATGCTAAGTGTCCAGTCATCCATTCAACCAATCAAAGCATAATATGCTAATGATATGCTTTGGCTCTCAACCGCTTGCTATGATGTGCGCTGACCACCAGGGAGCAGACAGACCAGTAGATCAATCTCTATGACATGCACTGACCACCAGGAGGCAGATGCTCTGACCGATACGTTAGCATGCTGCTGCGGTTTGGCCTATCGTGACAGAGGGAGATGGGCCAGACATGTCCTGGAGCCCTTCCCCAGCTAGCCAACTTCCTGCATCCCTCCCAGCCCCGATTGTGCACCGGCGGGGTCCATCAGCCTGGCCTTTGCCCTCTCGCAATCCGAGACCCCTCAGGGGATGTTGAAGAGTCAGTTTTGGCCTGATCCTGCAAGCCAGGCCGAGGGATCCCACTGGTGCACAAATTCGTGCACCGGACCTCTAGTATACTGTATTTGCTAAGGTGATATTGTAAAAGTCTTTCTAGACATATTTTTACATACTTGTAAATAATGCAATTTGTTTGGCATTTGTTTTGTTTTTCTCTAGTGTAAGCCAATAGCCTAAGTATTAGAAATTCTATAAATGGTTATTGGGCACAAATTATATGCTGTGTTACTGTGTAGGAGAATTTTTGAGTAACCACATTTCTGATTCTTTTTTTGTAAACGCTCAGATTTATTTGACAGGTGGTTATATTCTCTCAAGTTTTATTAGTGAGTGATAAAGCTCATAATACATAATACAGCTGTTGGTAATTTAGGAGAGTTTTTTGTTTTTATTTTTTTAATATATTTTTACTGATTTCAGAGAGGAAAGAAGAGGGAGAGAGAAAGAAACATCAATGATGAGAGAGAATCATTGATCTGCTGCCTCCTGAACGCCCCCATACTGGGATTGAGCCCACAACCGGGACACATGCCTTGCCTGGGAATCAAACCCGACCTCAATGCTCAACTAGTGAGCCATCCTGGCCAGGCTTTTTTTTTTTTTTTTAAATCCTTACCGGAGGACATGCTTGGGGGCGGGGGGAGCGGTTAGCGTGGGGGAAGGAAACATTAATGTGAGAGAGATACATCTACCAGTTTCCTTCTATACATACGTGCCCTGACCAGGAATCAAACTGGCAACCTTCAGGTGCATGGAAAAATGCTCCAACCAACTGAACTACTCCAGCTGGGCAGATTTCCCATTCTTTATAATATTTACACCAAGTACAAAGTTGCTAATTATCAGATACACACACCAAAATTCTTTACATTTATTGATCTTCCAGTTCTTATCTCTTTATCAATCATTAACATAGGCCTTGAAAGGAATCTAAGAACAAGCTCATTACCTTTTCATTTAATGAAATCTTAGCTTTACATAGAGTGGATTTTTAATTCTTAAATTTTTAACTGGGCCATTTTCTTTGACTTAAGTTTATATCATAAGATACCCTAGTAAGGAAGGTATTGCTAATTAATTCATTAGGACCTTGTTTACCAGCTCACTTTTATGACTTTTATTCTGCTTATCACTAAATGTTAATCTGCTCTATTTGTATAGAAATGAACTGAAGAAGTAAACCTTAGATTGGGAGACATTTTAGCCAATATTTTTAGATGCTCCTAGTTGTAGAGCAATGTTTCTTTCATAATGGAATGATCAATGAGAACTCTGATCATGAATTTGCACACAGTTATAGTTAAGCTTAATGTCTCAGAAGAAATAGTAGTGAAATCCTCTATTATCTAATCTTCAAACTCTATTTTTAAATATATTGTTACTAGAAGCCCGGTGCACAAAAATTTGTGCACTTGGGGGGGGGAAGAGGGGGGGTCCTTCAGCCTGGCCTGTGCCCTCTCCCAGTCTGGGACCCCTCGGGAGATAACACCCTGCTGGCTTAGGCCTGCTCCCAGATGGCAGAGGGCAGGCCCAATCCCTAAGTGCAGCCCCTGGTCGGGCTCAGAGCAGGGCCGATTGGGGGTTTGGGAGCCGCCCCATGTCATGCACGGAGCAGGGCAGATCG